GAAATGGCATGGGATCTTCTTCTTGGATCTGGGGCTGGTACTTCGGCTGTTTGCTCGATCCTTCCCTTTCCCTTGACCTTTTCCTTTTCCTTTGCATGCTGTTTAGGCTGAGGTGATGGTAGAACTGGAGCTGCATCGGCCTTGGCCTTCGCCTTGGGCGCTGCCTTCTCCTTGGGAGTAGCTTTAGGCTTCGCTTTTGGATTTGCATCCGGTGCAGCGGCAGTTGGGTTCGGAGCAGGAGCTGAAGGTTTGCCGCCGCCTGCAAAGTCTCTCGCATACTTCTCTCTGGCGGCCACATGCTTGTCCTCTCTGATTCTGGAGATGTGCCTTTCGATGACGTCCAACAGGTAGCGATAATTTCGTCTTTGGTCTCCTTCCATCCATGACTCGTACTGCTTGATGTCGAACATCATAAGACTCGAATTTCGAATCTTCTTGTATAGAGCATCACGAAGCCAATCATCAGGAGGTACGTCATCCGGCATCATGTTTGATACCATCTCCATCCATTTCTCGTAGAACACTTCTAGGTTCGAGTCACCGAGATACTTCATCGATACGATGTGTTCCATGGTGAAGGATGTTTCTCGCTGACCTGGGGTTCTGAAGTGCTCCAGAATCATAGCCAATATTTCCCGTCCCATGACATAGGTTCCTCTTCGGCTATGACTTTGTGTTCTCAATCTCAATTTGATCGCTACATGACGAGCAACATCACCGGCTTGGGCTATCACATTTGACAATGCAATTGACAACTTGGCGTCAATGGACTGATACCGTTGCCCCCCACTGTCATTCAATAGTTCGATGTCAGGATTTGGTCGAATAGCCGGCTGTAGCCATGCTTCCCATGCGGCTTTATCCCCGTCATTTGCCGAAAGAACAACACTCTTGATGAGATCTGATTGCCAAACCCCAAGATTCTGTTGCTTTGGCCATGGGCTAACATAGACTTTGTCAGCCTCTCGTCTTGACATTCTCGGTACTTCTTCTGCAGTGTAAGCCGCTGTGGAGACATCATCTGCTGAATCGCGTTGTGATCCTCGAACTGAAGGCAAACCTGGTGGTTCAGGAGGTGGTCCTGGTCCGTTAGGCCCGAAAGGGTCCGGAGGTCCATCAGGGTCAGGCGGACCGCCCCATCCACTCGGTGGCTCGTAATAGTCCCTCTCAGTTCCGCCAGCGATCTTGTTGTCAACCTCTTTCAGCAGATCAGCGATTCTTTTGTTTGATTGAGAATGTTGTTGTTGTTGAGGAGGTACAGCATGCCCACGATAGGAATGAGCCACATTTGTCTCATACGTCAACTCCTTGTCGATCTGCGAAACCCAAGATTTCAGAATGGCGTTTTCACAGTTAGCCTCACTCACGTCATTCTCCAGTTTGTCGATGACCAGTCTGGATGCGAGATCGGAGTTGGGAATGCCTGCCGAATAGGGAAGTGTGTCAGGACTGATCCTAGCCATAGATGTTTCAGAATCCTTGAGACTTTTTCTCAGTTCATCTAAGTGACGTTTCATGTCAACAATCTCAGAATTCTTGATGCCAATCTTCTCATCCCTATCCTGGATTTCCCCCATGAACATGCATGATCTCTCATATTGTTGAACACCACTAGCCAATTTCAATTTTCGCTCACTCTCTAGTTCGGATCTTAGAGTTCGGACCTCAGCATTGGTGAGGGACGAAGCCCCTACATCCGCAACTTCAGCCAATCTTTCTTTCAATAACATGTTTTCTTGTAAACATTCATGAACTTCATGATCTAGATCCTGAACCCTAATTTGAGCAATTTTGGCTTGATTACGTAGATCTTCAACAAGCATCTCATCGGGGCCACGACCGTCGGTCGTAGAACCCTGAGTCAACGATCTCCGCAACTTCGTGTTCTGCAACTTGATCTCATCCTTTAACTCGCAGTTCATCTCCTGCTCATTGGTGTAGAGCTCTTCATAATGCTCGGCCCTCGCGATCGAATTCAAGCTGGCCTGTGATTCAAGCCTCAGGTGTGATATCGCTTCGGCCTCTTGGTTCCTGTATGATGCAATTCTTTTGACGGTATCATGTTCGGTGTTTCGATGCTTCAGATCACTTTCTAATTTGGCCTGATTTGCCTCGAAAACCTTCTTCCTAGATTCTCTAGTGATCTCGTCAATACTGCCTTCATACAGCTCGGCCTGTTTACGAGATTGAACCAAAGCTTCACTCAATAGTTGATTCCGTTCAGATAGTTCATGAACTGCAATCGACTGTTGTTGGCTAATCACTTCAAGTTGATTGCTAGAGAAGGATGCCATTTCGGATCGATTACGATATTCCATGATTGAGTTCTGGAAATCATTTTGCATTTCTTGACCTTCATTGTAGAGTCGATTGGCAATATCGGTGGTTAAGACATTGGTTTGATGAAGTTGTTGTAGTCTTGCCTCCGTATTACCCAGTAGTCCTTGAAGGTGATGTACTTCATCCTTGTACTCCTCCTGGATCTCCATACCACGTTGATGGATCCGTCGTGCACCATGTTCCATTAGGGCACCTCGGCGTTCAAGGTCTTGGATGCGTATTGTTGCACCTTCATCTTCTTGAGATGCTACCATTAATTCTGCTTGATATTCTGCAACTTCATTCGCGGAACGTGACAATCTACGATTGAGTGCACTGACTTCATCAAATACGTTCTGGTTGTGTTCCTGAAGATACTCGGTGAATCTAATCTCGATGTCATGAATCAGTTGATCTCTAGATGCAGCGTATGCTTCCATGTTGTTCAGCTGATTACGTAGGGATTGACATTGTGCCCGTAGTTCTTCTATCATGGCAATAGGTTCACTAGCCACAGAAGTATCCGTTGATCTCCTCTTAACACGACTATCCCCGGTCCTCTCACCAACTCGGTCGGTCACGGCCCTGGTGGATCTGTCCCTAGGAGTAGTTCGTCCTCGAGATGGTCGATGCCCTTGGCGGACAACATCACTCCGAGGACTGTTTCGAGAAGATCTTGGTGTACTTTGGGTGGATATCCTTCGTCTGTTTGTCGTTACTTGCCATCCGGACTGTGTAGTTCGGGTAGAGCGTATCCCACCACTGTCTGCCGTGTCACCAGGGGAAGACTGATTGACCTCCTCGACCGGCATGGCAGTGTTCTCGTTGAAGGTAAACTGCGTGGTGCGCGAATCTCCGCTGCCGCCTTGCATCTTTGCGATAATGAGCTGATTGGTTCTTTGCGTCCTCAATCAATTGCTCTGAAGGCCCGGCTACCAGCACGCAGGTACCACTCTCCCGAAGGGAGAAGTGAGCCCTACGGCTGATAACCTGTGAACAAATGAATCCTTGTTCTGGATGTAGTTATCACTTGCGATACCTGTTATGCCAGTATTGCCGGGCACTGATGATGCATGGCTAGCGCAGCTCGGATCCTTTTCCTCGCACACGGACTTGAGCCAGTACGGCGTCCAGATATACAGTTAAGCATGTATATCCCAAGTGTCCTAGTGTTTAGTTCCCTTTGACATATTATATATAATTTCATATTTGATATAATATTAAACATAATAATATAATTTGTACTATATAACATATAATATGAAATACATAAAATATAATTGAATATAATATAATATAATCTATAATATATATAATATAATATAAAATAAAAAATAAGAAAAATTATATAATATATAATATATAGTATAAAATAATATAATATATTATATATTATATAGTATAATATAATATATAGTATAATATAATATAGTATAATATAAAATATAATATATTATATGATATATTATATGATATAATATGATATAATATGATACAATATGATATAATATATATGTGTAACATATATATATATTGGAAAAAACTGTAGATGGATAAAGCGAGGTTGTTGAACCAAGGGTAGTGTACGCCCCAAAAGTGATGATTTGTTACTACCAATAAATAAATTAGGTGTTCCCGTCAAAAGGTTTGGTTGTCACTCTGGGGTTGGCATTAACGACTACTGATATTACTGGTATTGATTCACGACAATATCGGAACGTCATTGGAAGTCACTGCAGAAAAATCTGTCAAAAATGTTTGAAACCGATGATTGAGACCACCTACCCTCTGGTAAACTAACATAGCTATGGAAAATCACTATTGTTAATGGGTAAATCCACAATTTCTATGGCCATTTTCAATAGCTATTTTGACATAACCAAAGGGTATGAAATTTCGATGTCCGAACCATGAAGCTTTCAGGACATCCCAACATGTCCCAACATGTTGGGGGTTTCCAATCGCTGATTCCAATGGGATCAACCCCAAGCCGTCCATGTCCTGAATGCCAAGCTATTTTCCCATCAAAATTACCAAAACCTGAACCCTTCAACCTACCAATTCGCTACGGTTTACGTATCATTTCCGAGCCACCGTGAACATCACCCTTTCATAATTATTTGGCCAACTTTTGACCAATATATCATCGTTTAATGCTGACCATAATCCCTAATTTTGTTCATGGCCGATCTTACATTCTTTGCCCGGAAAATAGTGGTTAGTAAATGGTAAATACATGTAAATACCCCATTTATGGCAAAAAATACTGAGTATTAAACTGCTCACCCAACGTTTCCCCACCGTTGGCTAACATAAGCTGTCGTCTTTATCGACATGCCACTTTATGTCACAATTTCATTTATCGGTCAACAATATACGTTTAACCCTTGCTTTTTTGCAGGTTATACAACACTTAGTCACTTAAATCCCCAAATGTCCTCCAGTTTTTTCCCAATACCTCCACTTCAATCACAACTATGTATCATTCATATCACAAATTAAGACTTAAAAATACAATATCACTTATACATATATATATAATTATATATATATATATACATATCACTTCTATCACCTAAGGCAAGGATCCTTGATGTATCCTTGATGTCAAAAAAAAACACAACACATTTCTCCCTTCCCATCGTGACCGTTCCGTCCCCGTAAAAAAAAAAAAACGAGACGCCCATGGAGGTCGCTGCTCTTCAGCCAGCGCGCCAAGTCGTCCCACTCGTTGAGGTTCTTGCCGTAGATGGACATGCGCATCTCCTCAGGGCCCCTCGAGGACGGAGCGGTTGGGATGTTTTGGGGGGTTTTGGCCGCAAATCACCAGGGAAGAGAGGGTTGGTGATGTTTAATATTGGTTGATCATATTGCAACTCACCGATCTGTGAAATATATTGAAATATGATGATTTGAGGCACCAATCCTACCCATCCTACCCGTCATTCATCAGATTGGCCACCATTTTATTATCACCATCATTGAAGATGGTGTAGAACGTGGGCCCCCCAGTTGTCATTTGGTTTATACACCCCATTGCCTGCAGTTCTACCCCCATGAAACATCATGAAACCACAGTTGACCAAAAAAAATGTGCGTCAACGATCGTCAACGTAGCGTTTTCTAGGGGACTTCACCTTTTAGGGTTGATACCCCGATGGTACCCCTATTCACTGGGGACATTTCTTGCAGCTTAAAATGAAGCACCAAGCACCACCAAGTCTGGGTTGACATGCTTAGATCTCCAAATTCCTGGTTAGGGATTCCGGGATTCTCATACATTGCGATGGCAAGAGAATATCAAACATTAAATTATAGAATGTTATAGATGATTTTCTCATTGAAACATTCATTTAGGGCGGGAAGTGACCATTGCCATGGTTGCCATGATTGCCGAAAGGATTTTCTGAAAATCCACAAGTCACATGGCTAGTATAATCCCAAAACCAATCATCAAGCAACCATCATTTATCAATTACATCACGAAATTTACTGGTTCCATATTTGATGCCCCTTGACCCCCGAAAAATAAAACACATCAATCATTATAAACCCAAATTGTGTTGCTCCCAGCTCATGGATTATGATCATCTCCAAAAAAAAACATCAATAATAGTACTAGTTTGGGGATTCATAATCTGGTTGGTGGTATACCTACCCCTCTGAAAAATGATGGACTTCGTCAGTTGGGGTTATGAAATGCCCAATGGAAAGTCATAAAATTCCATGGTTCCAGTCACCACCAACCAGTAATGATCATCATTGAGATCATCCATGATGTCCAAATCGTATCATCCGGGACTCCGCAAAGGTGTCGTTCTTGTGGAAGCTGCCAATCACGGCCTAAAAAAATCACCGGCAGGCGTTTTGAAAAGGGATCCACCAGTGACAAGGGAAAAATCTGACACTTCAGCTGTGAAATGTGGGATGGCGAGCTGTGAAATGTGGGGCTACCAGAGTTCCGAGTAAACTTTTGCAGAATTTTCGAGGTGGAATTCTCAACATCAAACCATCGTGGTTTTAGGTCACCCAAAAAAGGCCGGCCCACGGCCGGATCGCCTGGGCGAGCTCTCCAAAGTAGCTTCCCTGGATGAAGTTCGAACTCTTCAGGAAGACCGTCCTGCGGATGGCCAGCAGTTTCTTTTTGGAAAACTCGTGTCACACCGGAAAACCCTGTTGTTTTTTCATGTTTTTTTCCAGGGTTTTGACCCTCTGGTAAACTCACATAGCTATTGAAAATTGCCATTTGTAGTGGATTTACCCCAAAAAAAAATGTGATTTTCCATAGTTATGAAAACGTTTACCAGAGGGTATATGTTCCTTCCACCAAGTTCATCGGGGCTTCCGGTTCAACTTTCACATAAAACCATCCAACCAAACAGTGAACGCTGGGTGTCTTGCAGGAATTGACCAATATCATGGCAACTTTGACCTAAATGAAGGCGAAAATCGACGAGCAGAAAGGACGAATTTTCGTCTTTTTCAATCTCAGGACTCAGGAGGTCAGTTACCCTCTGGTAATTTAACATAGCTATAGAAAATCAACATTTTTAATGGGAAAACTCACTATAAATGGCAATTTTCAATAGCTATGTTAGTTTACCAGAGGGTAAGACTTTGAACCCTGGATTGGATCAACAGAAAGTGTTGAAAAATCCATACGGACTCCACGACCGACATGTGCGTCACAAGTTTTTTGAGCATGTCTGGGGAAACCAGAACAGTGATACAATTAATGATACCCACTGGTAATTTAACATAGCTATTGAAAATGACCATTTATAGTGGAATTTCCCATTAAAAATGGTGATTTTCCACAGCTATGTAAACGTTTACCAGAGGGTACAATCAACAAATGATTGGCAGCTAAACTAACTAACTAACTAACTAACTAACTAACTAACTAACTAACTAACTAACTAACTAACTAACTAACTAACTAACTAACTAACTAACTAACTAACTAACTAACTAACTAACTAACTAACTAACTGTTCCATAGTCACATTGGCCGTTAAGGTGATTTCCCATAGTCACTTTTAATACGGATGGGTTCTAAAAAGTAACCTCTATATATGTGGATGGGTTCTATAACCAGCGCTCAACCGCAGAAACACCATTATTTGCATGATGCAAACGGCCGCACCGTGAAACAAATAGGAGTAGAATCAACAAGAAGGGAGAAAGAATCAGCATAAATGCAGTTACTTGCTTGTTGGACAATTCCACCAAAGCAATGAAATTTAGCTACGAGACAATATGTTTTTGAAGTTTCACCAAATGAATTTCAAACATCCACTCAATATGTTTTACCCTCTGGCAATTTAACATAGCTATTGAAAATAGCCATTTATAGTGGATTTACCCATTAAAAATGGTGATTTTCCATAGCTACGTAAACGTTTACCAGAGGATATTGCAGGTTTGTTTGTTGGGAACATCTACTCACCACTCAAATTTTGGGCTCCGGTTGACTTGTTGGTGCGGTTATTGGGTCTCAGCTGGGTCTCAAAAAACTCGTACACCCGATGTACCCAGCAGAAACGATTGTATAACACCAGATCAAAATCGCCAATGCTTGTTTTTCCCATTTGTTTCCATGTTTTTCCATCTACCCTTTTTTTGGTTGATTATTCAAAAATGTCGACTTCTGCCTGACTTCTGCTCAAATTCCTGTTACGCAAAACAAACGCTGGAACACAGCAAAACATATTTCCATTTCCTGTTCCAAGAGTATCCACGAGTTCAATTTGAATGAAAATAGACTAGAAAATCTGGATAAGGTCTTGAAAATCTGGATATGATCTAACAATCAATAGTTCAATATGACCATGAAAATCCCAAGGTTTCGAAGCTCTCACCAGTTTTCATGGTCATATTGGGTATCCCCAAAAGGATGAACTCATCCCACACAGCAGAGGTGAAAACATCCGAACCTGGGTAACCTGGGTCCCATCACTTTGACCAATCCCATCAGTATAGACTAGTAATAAGAAGAACAACAAATAATAATATAATTATAGTAATATTAAAAATGATGCTCTATTATCTTACATCAAAAAACATATCGTGTCATATCGTAGTATATTAATTATGATTTAGGATATCTCCTAATAAATGGTTGATAACTACAAGGTGGTGCCCCATAGTTAGCTAAGTTGGTTTATAACTCCCATAACTATGGTTTATGGCAGATATAACTATAGTTAATGGGGTTTATAAACCAACTTATTACTGGGGGGGCACCATCCTGATAGGGGTCCATGACTTAGGAAACCTCCATATAAACAAGTACGGAAACCAACGAATCCAACGATGCCGCCGAAGGTACCGCAGGTCGCCACAGCCCAGTGGACTGTAGGCATCGTTGAAGTTGTCAAACCTTGGCAGGTTGCCGGATGACTAAATGGCAAATGGTGGTTTAACCAACAACAATGGAGAAATTCATCGTGGTTAAACAAAAAAAAGGTGGAAAACCCAACAAAAATGGAGAAAAATCCTGGTTAAACAAAAAAAAGTGGAAAAACATGGTGAAGCGTGCTAGAAGATGGGGACGATGTTTCACAAGGATCTTTCACCTGAGAAAGAGAGAGAGAGAGATAGAGTAACCCCAACAAAAAATGATGAGGTTGGTTTTTAAAAAAACTTGCTGAAATAGTGATAATTGGTTTCCTATTTTTTTTGAGTTTCTATATGTACTATTTTTACGGAGATCGAACAACAACTTGGAGGGGATGTTAAACGACCATCAACACAGATAAACAACCAATATGCGATGGAAGTCGAATAAGTATTGAACATACTAGAGATGTACCAGCAAATATTGGGGATATGTTCAACAAATGAAAAAAAGGCACTCCATCAAGTCACTGGACGCCCGAAGAAAATAAAATTTGTTGGTTCTCCTGAAGATGACCTGAAATCGGTGCTTTTCACCATGTTTTCAGGGTCTTTTGCTTTGATCCATACCCAAAACTCTCGGAGGCAGATGTTTTTTTTCTGCTCTTTGCTGGAAAACCCAAGGGGAAAACATGTCACCATGTTTACAACTTTGACACGGGTCGTTCCGCATCATTCCATGACCAAAGGCAATTGACCATGGCACGCACGGAGAGATTGTGTATTTTCCCCAGCGGCTTATTGACCAGGGCTAAGCTCTTCCACAACCTGTCTTGGAACACGAAGGTCTTATTGAAAACTAAAAACTGCCGCTTTTTGAAGATGTAAAATGTCAGTGTTTGGGTATGGTTCCAAATTGTACCCCAGAAAAAAAAAATGGATGCTCTCAGATCATCTGGGGTTCGAAGAGGCTCTTGAACAAATCTTAAGCCATTCACCCTGACGTATAAAAGTGGCAGATTGAACTCCAGCTGGCATGCCCTAGTTATGTTTGTTGGTCTATTGCCCAGCTTGCTATAGATGCTTCATCACTGAAAACCCAACAGTTAACATCAGCTAACCTACTTGTAGTTACCCTGTGTTTATTTAACACAGCTATGGAAAACGACCCATTGATAGATGATCTATTATGATTTATCTCTACAAAAATAGTGATTTCCACAGCTATGTGAAAAATAACCACAGGCTACATCCACCAACCCTTGCGATTTGGGGCACCACTGGGGCACCACCTTTATGGTAGTTCCCTTCACGGCACCAGGACACCGGTGAAAGAAATGATCATCCGCCACAGTCCTCGCGTTTTTTTGTGTTGCCATGGAAGGGTCAAATGCTATGACTACTGGTTGGTGGTTTCAACCTACCCCTCTGAAAAACATGAGTTCGTCAGTTGGGATGATTATTCCCAATATATGGAAAAATAAAATTCATGTTCCAAACCACCAGCCAGACTATATGTGGGGAATATAAGAAGAAGAGGAAGAAGGAGAAGAAGAAGAAGAAAAAGAAGGAAGAGGGAAGGAGAAGACAACTCTAATAAAATCTAGAGACCCTTACCTGGCAGGCTGGGAAATAGATTATCCACACCTACTGAATAAACTACCATTTTCATCCATTGTCCCTATGCCAATTTGGGGCGTAGAACACACCATAATGGGAATATCATAAGCCTAAACCATCATTGGATATTTGGGGACATGTATATATATATATACATAGAGAGAGAGAGAGAGAAAAAAAAAAATGTGTATACTGTATACTGTATATATATATATACATAATACGGATATAATATGGAGACGATGGTGATAATAAGATTTGATAGGTATATAAAAGGCTATTATTGGTTATATACGCTCCAGCAAAGTAAGATAGATATGGGGAAACGTTTGGTTTCCCAAGGACGACGGTCTACACATGATGGATTCTCACATGGATTCGTCATTTTTGTCTCACATGGATTCGTCAATTTCCTGGAGTTTTTGCCAATCAACGCAGATCAATACTTACTATACCCATAGGATCCATGTATGGTATATATGCTAACATTTGGTGTATATTGATGGTAAATGTTACCATATATGGCAGCACCATGGATCCTATGGGATATGATCTTCCTATTGATCATAGCCAGCTGGCTTCCATGTGACATTTAGGTGCAATCTATGGGATTTGCTTCCGAAAAAAATCCAGCAGTGATGTGACTGGTACAAGATATGGGAAACCTCTCCGGTGAATTAGTCGGATTGATCCAGATAAATGAGAAGTTACGTGCAATTGAATGGGGATATATAAATATAACTAACCAACATAAGTGGATTCACCTTTTCTTTATAAAATTCAGATGATGCAGGCTAATTTTCAGGTGATTTGTTTCGGTTGTGTCCCCAGTCTGAGGATGAATATGATGGCCGGTTCAAGCTTATGGCCGACACTAAGTCCACAATGGTCAGATAGTGCTGACAAGAAATCTCTGGCCAAACATCAGTCATTGAGTAATAGTGGTTTATAGATGGTATATAAAAATAGTGTCCAATCTGTTTTCAATTATTGGTAATCAGCCCAATATTGTCTTGGCATGCTGGGTGCTCTTGCACCGTGTCTCTTGACACGGGACCGAGCGCAAAAAGGATCAAGGGAGAGCATCTCATCAGCCAAGCATTAAGAACGACTACTGTAGTAATGGTTTATTGTTGGTAATAGCATCAAATTGACCACTTTGGGGACCCATCTTGAAGCAAACACACAACCGGAAGACAATTCGTTCCTCTCTGGCTATTCGCAGGATCAGACTGGTGATTTGTTTGAAAAAAACGGTACCCCAAAATGCATTTTTTTCCAATAAAATAGTAACCGGGGGTGTATGGGAGTCTACTCTTCATTTTTCGGACACACATTTAAAAAAAAAAAACTATATATGATATAACCCAAACTATATTCATGGGATACCAAAGTATATGTTTTCTTTGTTGTTTCAAACCTGCTAAAAAAATCCCGTTTTGATCTCCCCGTCCCATTGATAGCCCCGTCTGACGTCTTTGGTCGGCTCCTGAGAGCATCTACGTGTAGCTGCGCCTCCAAAGTCCTGGGCAAATGGTGCTGGCCCAAGGTTTGCCCAGGATGTCTTTCGTTGTTTTTTGACCAACAAAAAAGGGGCTCTGAAAATGGTAAATGTACGGTGTTTAACAGTGGATTAAACCATTGATCGGATTAATCCACTGCAGATATACCCGGCTTGGTAAACGTTTACATAACGAACTGGAAAAATCTCAATTTTCAATGGGTAAATCCACTATAAATGGCCATTTTCAATTGCTATGTTAAATTACCAGAGGGTGTTGACCACTTTTTCTATATTCTTCTAAAAACAACGGTTGGTGTTCTAAATGGCAGTGGATTATATAATGGGGAAAATGATAACAATCCAATGGATGGAATGGAAAACACGATTGACAAAGCCATTTGACCAACATGTGACCCACAAAAATGGAGATTTACCCAGCAAACATGAAACAAAATATCGTGGGATTCATCGGAATTCATTGGAATTCATCGGGACTCTAACCATCTTTGTTAGTGAAAGTGAGTTGAGCACCATACCAGTAAATTGATTTCGGGAAATTTTGACAGGAACCAACCGTAGTCTTTGATGATCGTGTTCTTGTGGGCTATGATATGTGTTCATTGATGGGCAGGAATTAGGCCACGAAAACCACCGACCAACTTCCAAGTAGTGTCAATTTTACCAGCAAAGTTCCAACATTGAGATGTCCTGAAAAACAAGGCATCCCCAAGTTGGATGGTGTAGTAAAATGTTGGTCAATAACTTGTGGGCAGCCCCCCTTCTCAGACACACCTAGCCAGGGTTCGATTCCTAGGATTGCGGGTTCCTAGCCGGGCGATATCCCCGATTTTGGGTGGACGAAAAATCCAATGGGTTCATCACCAAGAAAAAACCATGCCGGTTGGTCGCAACCATCACTTTTTGCTGCGTTTTTTGGCCACCCTCATGGCTAAATATCTAACAAATAACGTTAAAAATAATCATTCCTTCCTTGTTCAAAACATGTAACAATGTATAAACGATGATATATACACAGTTGTATCATTCCATCCCCCCAAAAGCATTGTCTAATAGGGGATGAAATCACGTATCTGGGACCATCATTAGTGGGGGTGCAGACTAAAAATTAGGGGGATGGGATTATACACATATGCGCCATGGTCAAGACATGGTATACATACATACATACATACATACATACATACATACATACATACATACATACATATATATATATGGTGCAGCGTTGGCCACCCCCCCCCCACCAATGGGTATGGGTGGACAGTATCGTCTGGTTCTTCTGGCCCCCCCCTGTGGCCTGTGGTGGTGGTATGGTTCTTCTGGTCCCCCCCCCGCCCTGTGGCCTGTGGTGGTGGTATGGTTCTTCTGGTCCCCCTCCCCCTGTGGCCTGTGGTGGTGGTATGTTGGGTATGTTGGTATGTTGGTATGTTGGTATGTATGTATGTATGTATGTATGTATGTATGTATGTATGTATGTATGTATGTATGTATGTATGTATGTATGGAATGTAAGGTAAGGTAATGTAAGGTAAGGTAAGGTAATGTAAGGTAAGGTAATGTAATGGTATGTATGTATGTACGTAGGTATGTAGGTAGGTAGGTAGGTAGGTATGTAGGTATGTATGTATGTATATACACCACCACAGGGGCATCATACCCCCCCCCCCATCCCATGGGGGGGGGGGGGAACACGGGACACGGGACCATATATATATATATATCGCTAGGGGGCTGACGTTTGCCCGCAATCCACGGAATTCCATGCGGGACTGCAATCTGCTGTGTTGTTTCCATGCGTGTTTTTCGCGCACTGCGAGCATGCAACATATTGATATTACTTGCGTCTCGTGGCATTTTTGCGCTTACCTAAGACGGTGCCAAAATCACCTTTTGAAGCGTATCTTAAAGATCTCCTCCGTAATTTGCAGTGTTTCGAGCCGTTAACTGAGACCTCAACAAACCACAAGACTTTGAAAGAACACCAAAATAACCCACACCGTCCCCTGGAGACAGAAGCCAGTAGTTTCTGGCTCTGACGCCACCGCTGCTTTGGCCTGCCAGCACTTCAAGCATGACCAAACCACCAACGACCAACGACCAACGACCAAAAACAACGACAACGACAACAACAGCAACAACGACAACAACAAAAACAAACAAAAAGGCAAACAAACAAACAAACAAACAAACAAACAAGCAAAAAAAAACAAACAAACAAACAAACAAGCAAAAAAAAAACAAACAAACAAACAAACAAACAAGCAAAAAAAAACAAGCAAAATAAAAAGCAAAAAAGAAGCAAACAAGCAGTCTCCAGGGCAAAAACTGAACTGGATACAAACAGAGGGTCCACGTACATCAGTTGCACAAATCATGCTGAGTCCTGATTAGTGGACAGGCGGGCCTCCAATATATTGAGCTTACTCCAACACCCATGTATTGAGCTGGTGCTCAATTGCGGCAAACGTTTTTCAGAATTATTCCCCACCTGCCAGGTGAGGGTTGCTAGATTTTAGCAGAGCTCTTCTCCTCCTCCGTCTCCTCCGCCTCCTCACCCGCCGCCTCCTCCTCGCAGTCCAGATCCCAGTGCCGGACCTCAACCGGGACTTCCAGGTCGCAGTGGGCACTGCCGGGCCTCAACCGCGAGCTCCAGATCCCAGTGGGCACAACCACGAGCTCCAGATCCCAGTGGGCACTGCCAGACCTCAACGGCCAGATAGAATGCCAGAAGATATGCCAGATGGAATGTCAGATAGAATGCCAGAAGATATGCCAGATATAGAATGCCAGAAGATATGCCAGATAGAATGCCAGAAGATATGTCAGATAGAATGCCAGAAGATATGCCAGATAGAATGCCAGAAGATTTGCCAGATAGAATGCCAGAAGATATGCCAGAACATATGCCAGAAGATATGCCAGAAGATATGTCAGATAGAATGCCAGAAGATTTGCCAGTAAGAAAATGTATAAATGTCATGGTGGGGATCACACGAAGTAATCTTTTTTTTCGGAAAAAAATGGTTCTGAATTCCCGTCCCAGCCCCAGCCCCCTGTGTTCAAAGAGTGGTTTCACTCCAGATTTTGTTGCCCGAGATCTTGTCTGAGACTCAAATCTTGGGATTTCCAAACGGGTTACCCTCTGGCAAATTAACAGTTCGACCCTGGCATTCATCGGGGTTGGAAGACTAGTTTCCATTAAAAATGGGTGATAAAATCAGGGTCCAAGCGTTAATTTACTGGAGGCTAATTCATTCAATACGCTTTGCAGAAAAACCTTCACCCATGGCCAATTTTTCACCACATGAGCCACCTAAGAACTGAATTGTAGGAATGTTGCCCTTGCGCTTAAAAATGGCAAGGCTCTGCTGAAGGAGAGCAAGCATCTCAAAAATTGAAGAGAAAACGTGAAAGAAAGCTGAAGAAATTGTTTCCTTTGACTTATGTTCTTCTCATCATCTTCCATGATTTGAAAAAGAGAATGAAATGCAATTGAAGAAAACTTTTTTTGAGTAGAGTAGGAAAATAGGAAGTTCAACATGATTTTCAAACTGACTGCAAACAAATCCAAAGGATGCAGTGCTTCATTGAAAAACTAAACCAGATGCCCAGCGAGATTTTTAACTTTTAACAGGAAGCGAAAGGAATTTTCATTAGCACCAAACTCTTAATCGGAAAATACCAGATGATGTTTTTTCTCTTTTCACTTCAGCTTTGTTGGTGACAACATTACCCCACTTGCCAATGACTGAGTCGCTCTTCATCCCCTATGCCTCTTGTATCAAGCCAGCCACCAGGAACCAGGGATCCATTCCACCAAATTCCACGGCAAGGGACTTGGCTTCCAGGGAGTGGAGGCTTCCACCTTCACATGCGGCGTTCGGAACGGGATATCATGGGGATGTAATAGGGATGTACTGTTCCATTTCAGGATGAAGATTTCACCAACAACCAACAACCAACCATCACCCTCTGCGATTGAAGCCATGGCACATGTGCTTCGTTGATTTACCGAACTTCAAGATTCAGATAGGTGGATTTTCCAGTTCGCAAACTGTAAACGTTTACCAGAGGGTAATCACTAGCAAGATCGTTCGAAAGGCTTCAAGGGCTTATGGCAACCATCTATTCGTCAGATCAGCTCTTGGCAAGCAGCCTTCTCAGTTCGATGGCCCAAGGTCTATGAAGGATTCAACCAACCAACAAGTGCGGATCTCAACCAACCGGGCTGCCATGGTCCAGGTAGATGGGATCTAAAAATTGGTTACAATGCCTACCATTCGGCACTTCTGAGACGGAACAAAATTCTGTCGATGAAACGACGTAAAAACCGATATACCGCTTCCAGAAACCCATCTCAATTGTGTTTTCTTCAAAAATTGTGGTGGATTTTCCCCTGTTTTGTTGAATTTTGTTGGTGGAAATTGCTCACTTTGTGTGGTGAACATCTCCGTGTTCTTTTTAGGTAGCTCATAACCAAATTGGAGAACCACATCTTGGAAGCTCATGGTTCGAAGCTAATCCCAATCACCCTTAAACCCACTGAGGTCGGTATCAGAATCCATCAGCTTTGAGGGATTTGAAGGTTTGCAACACTCAACCTTTCCCTACAGGACACCTTCCCAGTAATCTCAAGGGGGAAAATCCTTACAGGCACTTCTCCGAGATTCCAAATCAATGAATGTATTTGGGGTGTATGCTTGACACGATTCTTCAGACACATATGTGTTCTTAGGGGCTAAATTTTGTCCCAAGACGAACATCCCACATGTCAGGCCTGGTGAAGTTTCATCCATTCTCACCTGCACAAGATGACAGAAGCAACCCTAGATGACTTCATTTTGCCGCTGGAGGCGAAGGGTGACCATGGTGTAATCCCCATTCAGACATGCCCTCAGTCGGGCATCTGGGTGTCTGAAACACCCACATGCCAATGCGAATTCCTCATGGTTGTGGAAAATGAGATGGGCCGGTCTCCGACATGCTTTACCAAAGCTAGT